TCTCAGAGAGTTGATAACACTTTGATGTGTTAAAGGAATATTGTTAAGTCTTGCAGGAAAAGAATCTGTTTAATGTTGCCTAACCCAGTATTGTCCAAACTTACTTGAACAAGAAAGAGACTCCTTACCTCCAAAGAGCACTTATCATATCATGGAATTTGGCTGCTCTCACATAAGGGGAGAATTCAATCCCCCTTATGTGCTGCCCAGAGTCCAGAGACTTTCCGTGTGATATGCAGACAAGGACAGCTTTGAAGGAAGTGGTTTATGGATCCGATTCCTCTTCCTCACTCAGTACATACTCTTTTCTACATGTACGTGCCTGACAAACAACATGAGGTCGAAGCATGGAGGGTCTGTCTTCTTTCTGGAGTTTTCGTCAGCGTCCATACCCATAAAGAATCGTATCAGGACAAATATATTACCCTGGGGTGCAAAACCTGCCTGGTCAGATACAGGGATGATGTGAAGCTCCGGGGTGGGTGATGCCTCTTTGAATCGAGATGCCATAACCCTCTCCCTACCCATCTCATTTGAAGCTGCATTTCCAATAAAAATTTTCCTTTTACTTTAGTATTTATCAACATTGTAATATTTCATATTGTGCACTAAGATAAAATAACTCACTCCAGAGAAAATGCTTTGAGGCTTGGAGATTTTTGGTTACCAGAATCGTCTTTCAATTTAAATTTCTATTTGTATGCATCCTTTGGCTGTAGAGAATTATGATGAATTGATCAAATAAAACATTTTCAAGCATAAAAACATATATTAAGTTAAAGTTCTCTGGGTGTCATAGAAAAGAGATACAATTTCAAGGGGAAAAAGAACAATGTAACATTTCTAAAGAAGAGCTTGTTCCTGTCACTTTAAAATGGGCAGTAATGTTCTATCACTGTCAGCATTTCTGTTATATTGGACACATTTTAAAAATTATTTAATAGGTTATTTTTTAATGTTTTTTATTTATTTCTGAGAGAGAGAGGCAGTGTGAGCAGGGGAGGGTAAGAGAGAGAGGGAAGTACAGAATCTGAGCTGTCAGCATAGAGCCTGACGAAGGGTTCAAACCCACGAACCATGAGATCATGAGCTGAGCCGAAGGCGGATGCTTAACCAACTAAGCCACCCAGGCGCCCCTTACAGGCTAATTTTTTTTTTTAATGTTTTATTTATTTCTAGGAGAGAGAGAGACAGCGTGAGCAGGGGAGGGTCAGAGAGAGAGGGAGTCACAGACTGAAGCAGGCTCCAGGCTCTGAGCTGGCAGTCAGCACAGAGCCCAACGCGGGGCTCGAACCCACGAACCGCGAGATCATGACCTAAGCAAAAGTCGGACGCTTAACTGACTAAGCCACCCAGGCGCCCCATAACAGGCTAATTTTTAAATATCACTTTTATAAGATATAGAAATCATATCTGTTAACAATTATAACTAACCTTAAGGTGCAAAATACGTGCTGCCAAGTTAAATAGGTAAGGAGATACATAGTTTTTCAAAACCCTTATGGGAACATATGAGCAAAAGCTGTGACACCTACTGGTCTAGAGAAAAGTGTTGGGAGTGCTGGCGGGGGAAGGAGCCATGTTTGGAATCAGGCAGAGGAGCCTTGGTAAAATTGCCAGCATCACCCAACATTTAGAGTTAAGCTATGAAGTACCTGGCACAGCGCCAGCCAGTGCTCCCTTCCTTCCACCAGGTCCTGCCATGTGCCATGAGTGTGTGAGGCACTGGGCATACTAAAGGGCTTCGACACCAGTCCCCACTTGCACAGAGCTTACATTCTGGTGGACATACCTGTATTTGATCTTCTGCTTCTGTGTGGGTACGTGCTTGCTGCATTACTTTCCTTTGTAAATTTTTTATGTTTGTTAATTTTGAGAGGGAGGGAGGGGCAGAGAAAGAGGGAGAGAGAGAGAGAATCCCAAGCAGGCTCCAAGCTGCAAGCATAGAGCCTGACTCAGGGCTCGATCCCACACCTGTGAGATTGTGTCTTGAGCTGAAATCAAGAGTCAGATGCTGAACGGAGTGAGCCACCCAACTGCCCAAGCTTGCTGCTTGTCTAAAGAGTCTCTTAATGGTCTTATCTCAGGCAGCTTTTAGGAGCTGTATTGATAAAGAAATGACTCATTTTTTTATATTCTAGAAAGGATCTTTCTAGATTCCATTGTTCTTATTAGAATAGTCACCTCGGAAGCATACAGTTATTTTAGCGATGGGGCCACTACTCAAAAGTCTTTAGGCCTCTGCTGTGGGACTGACTTCAAAGCATACAGCACAATCTTCTGAACATCCTTAATACTTATAAATATTTATCTTTCGGGGGGGAGCACCTGGGTGGCTTAGTCAGTTAAATATCTGACTCTTGGTTTCAGCTTGGGTCATGATCTCATGGTTGTGGGATTGAGCCCCGAGTTGGGCTCCATGCTGAGTGTGAAGCCTGCTTGGGATTCTCTCTCTTTCTACCTGTGCCCTTCCCCCTGTCCGAAAGTAAACACATTTAAAATATATATATATATATATATTTGTCCTTGAAATACAAATTTGCTCTTTGGGGGAACAGAAGTTATTCACACAAAGGTCTGGTGACCACAGTAGGTGGTCAGAATGGGGCAGGAACATTTTATGTGACTAACTCTAGGAGGGCATCAAGCAGGCAGTCTGGGCTTTCTCATGGTAAAGAAGAGTCAAGAGATGCTGTTTGTTCCCTTTGCACCCAGCCTGAAGGGAAAATCCCACCCATGTCAGGGCCACTAGACTGTGAAGTTGCTTGAAGACTATGGTTTCAAACTTTAGGGAGAGAGCTTCCTGAGCTGTAGGAAGCCTGTGGCACCTGCTACCTTACGGCTGCTGATCCTGCCGCAGCAACCCCACTCCAGGCCATGCCCCTGGGGCCTGCAGCCAGCAGCCTGAGGGCAGACATAGCTGTCTCAAAGGGCCAGGACTGAGGGAGCAAGGCTGGGCCAGTGTGAGGGCACCATGTGGGTAGAGGAAGTGCACAAAAGCCTTGTCTGAATTGTGTTGGGGTATTTATTGGGTCTGTCTGTGAGGCCTGACCATCCAGGTATTAATCACTGTCCACTGAGAAAATGAGTCCAGTGAGGGCAGAGGGCATGGAATATAAGATGGGGAGGCCAGGCAAGGATTGCAGAACCTGGCATGTGTATGGCCATCTGTCTGTCCACTTTGCCTATCATATCTATCACTTACACGTGGCCAAAGAGCACTAATAAAATCTCTATATGGACCCTATAAGGGTCCTCAGTTCTCAAAGGAAAACTCTTTTTTAAGTATAAATTTGCACTGTATTTTACTACTTCCTTATTCTTATGCAGTGTTTCTTTGGTATTTTACTTAGCAGACACCAGTTCGTCCCTGTGCCCAGAACTGAACGAGGTGCTGTGGAAGACATTGTCTCGGTCCTTAGGCAACTTGAATCTCCTAGGGAAGATATGCGTACATGCTGTAGAGTAATGGCCAGCAGATTTCAAATGTCAGCTCTACCTAATTGGTGATTTCATGGAATATTTCATCAAATCTAAGACACTGTCAACTTTAAGATGTTGTTTTACGTGCTTTTGGGAAAGAAAAATATGCTGACAATGAAATTGTGAATGACTGCTTTCTTTTTATTGAGAAATTTTATACTTCTTGAAAGATTCTTTTTGGACTTGCTTAGACATAGTGTTTTATTTAACATGTATTACTCTCGTTCACTCATAAAGTAGAACATAAGAGAAATAAACTGGCTTTGGTTTTTCCAAGCTTCTTCACATTCAGGGTACTGCTCATCTGAAGTATCTTTGACCTGCTGTGATCAGTGTGTGTGTTTCTCACGCAGTGCACTTCTGTTCCCTATGCCAATGGAGAGTGTTGGTGAGGCAATATTCCTTCGAGTGCTCTTGACTTTTCTCCCAAATCTCTGGCTCCTATTGTGCAAATTGATGTGCATATAATGACAACCACAGCGCAAGTGCCACCTGGCAACAGTGACTGTAAGACACATATCAATTTCCAAGACACCGATAAAAATACACTGTAGACTCAAAAGATGGATTCTGAGACTCAGTCAAAAAGACTGCCATGATTGGCTACCCATGTCTGCCCTGGGAATGGTGCCGGCACTGGTGCTACATTCTTGTCATTAAGCAGTAATTTGCAGAACTGGATAGTGGAGTTCTCTGTGAGCTAATAGGACCAGGAAAGCATTATGCATGAAGTAGTTCTAAAAAGGTGTGATTTCAGGGTGCCTGGGGGCTCAGTCAGTTAAGAGTCCAACTTCAGCTCAGGTCATGGTCTCGTGCTCCGTGAATTCAAGCCCTACGTTGGGCTCTGTGCTGACAGCTCAGAGTCTGGAGCCTGCTTCGAATTCGGCGTCTCCTCTTTCTGCCCTTCCTCTGCTCACACTCTGTCTCATTATCAAAAATAAATAAATATTTTTGGGGGGCACCTGGGTGGCTCAGTCGGTTAAGCGTTCGACTTCATTTCAGATAACAATCTCATGGTTTGTGGGTTCAAGCCCTGCATCAGGCTCTGTGCTGACAGCTAGCTCAGAGCCTGGAGCCTGTTTCAGATTCTGTATCTCCCTCTCTCTGACCCTCCCCTGCTCACACTGTCTCTCTCTCTCTCAAAAATAAAACATTAAAAAAAATTTTTTTAATTAAAAAAATAAATATTTTTTAAAATTAAAAAAAATAATAATTTAAAAAATTAAAAAATGTTTTTAAGGTGAGATTTTGCCTGGACAAAAGCAGACCACTTCCAGAAAGGGAAGAGTGCAATATAGGAGTGCAATTCTCGAAGGAATACCCTCAAAAGGGTAAATAAGCATGTCATGTGGAGGGGATGATGGAGGGATCCCAGGCTTTGGTGGGGTTTGGTTAGGGAACTGTGGGATATAAAAGGCATGAGTTTTTGTTTTAGGAACAAATTAGTGTGTTTCACTTGTAGAAACATACTAATGGTTCTCATATTTCTATAACTTTTCTTTCTTTTCTTACTATAGGTCCTGATGTTTTTAGCTCAAAGAGCCTTGCCCTTCAAGCCCAGAAAAAAATCCTGAGCAAAATAGCCAGCAAAACCGTGGCAAACATGTTGATCGATGACACCAGCAGTGAGATCTTTGATGAGCTCTACAAAGTCACCAGAGAGCACACCCACAGCAAGAAGGAAGCCCACAAGATTATGAAAGACTTGATCAAGGTGGCAATCAAAATCGGAATCCTCTACCGGCACAACCAGTTCAGCCAGGAGGAGGTTGTTATTGTGGAGAAGCTCAGGAAGAAGCTGAACCAGACGGCCATGACCATCGTCAGCTTCTATGAGGTGGAATACACCTTTGACAGGAACGTGCTCTCCAGGCTCCTGAATGAGTGCAAGGACCTGGTACACGAACTGGTACAGCGACACCTGACACCCAGGACCCATGGGCGCATCAACCACGTTTTCAACCACTTTGCCGACGTGGAGTTCCTCTCTACCCTTTATAGTCTGGATGGAGACTGTAGGCCCAACCTCAAGAGAATTTGTGAAGGAATCAATAAATTGCTAGATGAGAAAGTCCTCTGAATTCCTTCTCTCCTCCTGGACTTTGCTGAGTTCCAGTTACAGCACCCAATGTGGTCCAGGTTTGAGAAGAGAAACCTGGAAACCCTTGTCGAAGACGCTCATGTTCTGTCCTATTCGCCCATCTGATATTGATGCCAGATTGCATTCAGGTGTGTTTATCCCCTGAGCTCACTGACAGGTCTGTTCTTCACCTCCCTTGGTTTGCCAGCCCAAAGGACATTTCATCTGTTCTAAGCAAAAGGCTGCCATGCTCCTCAAGGTGAGCTCACTTCATCTTGGTGGAGTGGAAGGAGCCCTGGACCAGGAGTTGCAGGACGTGGATTTGGTTCCCAGCTTCACCAGTGCGACCATCCTCGGGATCCTAGAACCACAATGTCCTCCTGCCTACCTCCCAGGACTACTGTGAGGTTCAAATGAGACAATGTGTGTTCACGCTTTTGAAAACTCTAATGTAAGCTTTTATTATTTTCTCTCTGGGGTGTGAGAGGGATCAACCTGGATCTAGACTACTAAGCAGCAGAGAAGAAAAGAATAATAGTATCTAATAGGCCGGGTTTACAGTCTGTCTGTAGATGTGCTGCTTCAAACACGGCTGAATACAAAGGTGTGAAGAAGTGTAGCTGCAAATTGGAAAAATGTTTTCCAAGAGCTGTGTTTTTTAGGTCTTAGATGCAGGTGTATGATCCTGCAGAGGGAATCTTTCCAGTGGGGTGGGAGTGTGGAGAGTTTCCCACTCATAACACAGGAGCAGGAAAGTGTGCTCCCTGTGAGACCAGCCTGAGGTGTGGGAGGGTTTATCCCAGCAGCACAGGAGAGCTGGGCAGAACGAACCCCTATCCATCTCTCTTGGCCTTTCACAGTCACATTGTGCTGTTTTCTTTGGTTCGTTAATAAACTGAAACTACCCTTCAAACAAGAGGTTTCAGAGTTGTGATTCAAAAATAAAATACCTTGGAGTTAGAGGCAGTGCTAAGAATAATTGAGGGGCACCTGGGTGGCTCAATCAGTTAAGAATCAGACTATTTTGGCTCAGGTCATGATTGCAGGGTGTTGAGATCGAGCCTGGTATTGGGCTCCATCATAAGATTCTCTTTCCCTCCTCCTCCCTCTCTGCCTTTCTACTGTGCACACTCGCTCACACACTTGTGCACATGCTCTCCCTCTCAATCTCTCTCTCTCTCAAAAAAAAAAAAAAGGGATTGAAAGGAAGACAATGAAGAGCGAGAGCTCTGCACTGAGACCCTGAGGAGCAGTGTGGGAGGCAGGAAGGGTGGGGTGCAGGCAGCTTGCTCATGGACACATGACCAACTGCCTTCTCTGAGCATCTCCCAGCCTCACTTTCACACTGTGGCTTCTGACATATTTTTATCAATCCTTAACAAACATCAGGACAGTGTATTTACTGCCTTCTCGTGTTGTCTGCAGGGCACCACATTAGGAAACTTGCTCTCCCTGCATCACCTCCCATGCTGCTCTGCTTCTTATACCTGATGATACTATGAAAGACCATATTAGCTCAGCCCTTGACTAATCCTATCCAGACATGGTTTGTGGGAGGGTGTGAAACGGCAGCCTGTGAACCTACAGTGGCCATTCAGCCTCAACCGGCTCCTGTGTCAACATCAGTGCAAACCATCAGTTAAGTTCTTCAGTTACCAGTACTCAACATTAGTTCATAGGAAGGGTGTCCGGTAGGGAATAGGGAACAGTTAAGTCAGCCCCCAGCCCCTCCTTGCAGACCTGAGGACTGACCAATGATGCCCTGTGCACATCCAGGCTGGAGAAGTCGTTGGTCATTCTGGCAGTGGAAGCCACCAGCGGCAGGGTCCTGCCTTCCCACCTACCCACTAGGCAGCAAGCAGCCCAGGGGTAGCTGAATTTTCACATACAGGGTTTTCAGTGCCTGCCTTGGTGCACTTGTCTGATTGAGGGCTGCCCTCTAGTTTGAGGGATGGCCCTAGAAGCAAATCCTTTTCTCACTAAGTAGGTGGACCCACCAGGGAGTTCAGACCCACAAGGAATGTGTGGAACTATCTTCTGTTATCTGAGACACAGCAAGGAAGAAGGCACGGTCCCCAGGTTCCCCCCACTCAGCTGGTCTTTAGCATACATTAGTTTCTTACAGTCCACAAGCCCCTAAGGAAACTGAGTCCTCCTTGTTCTCATCAGAGAAGGATCAGCACTTACACCAGCACGTATCAGCAAGTGCAAAAGCAGAGTGTAGACCAAAACGTGTTCTACTGCCCTGAACCGAGGCAGCCAAAGGGCTCTCTACTGCACGCCCAGCTGCATGTCTCTCAAGCTTATCAACGGGGGGTGGGTGGGGGGTGCCCTGGGCTACCCAGCACAAGTAACTGCACACCTCTAAAAATAGCCAAAACCAATCCCGTGTGTACATTTTAAACATACCACTGGCGTATAAACTCAAGTGATTATCGAGTTTCATCAACCAGCTGAACGCTTACAAATTTCAGATACTTTACATAACAATCTGGTGACCAAAAAAGAATAGGCGCCATTATTAGTTTATCTTGAGGACTCTAACCACATCACTCTGTGGCCCTGAAAGGCTGTTTGGGCTGAAAAGAAAATACAAAGGACACAGGCAAATGCTAGATGCTTTCAAAAATGGGACTCTGTACATGTGCACTTGTGCTCAGAACTCTACAAAATCTGCAATAACGAGAACACACAAAAGCAAAGTGAGAATATCTGCATTTAGGTGACACCAAAAAGAAAAATGATATCAAGAGAAGCAATATAAAATCACTCAATTGATCAAGCCCCACACAAAGTACAGAGAGCAATGCCTGGCTCAGCAAATCAAAGACAGAGAGAGCACTCATTCTTTAAGAGGGGAGGGAGGCAGGAGCAGCCTGTCTCAGTTATCTGGAAACATCCCTAGGTCTTCAGCCATCTGTGAGCACTCAGCTCTGTCCCCTGGGAGGATGGCAGACTTATGCTGTAATCCCCAGCCCACCCCTGGTTATGTGGCCTTCTTCATGCATCTGAGCCCTGCAGAAACACATTTCCTGACGGCTGCGCCTGCTGTGTGTCTGTGCTGCCCTTCCTCCCTGTGTTTGCATCTGTGAGTCTTGACACCCTCCGCAACTCCAGGTCTCTGCTCAGTGACAAATCAAAATGAAAAGACTTCTCCATCTGTGCTTCTCCTCCGACTCCCATCTCCCCCATCTGTACATTTTTCACAAGCAGATCAGTACATTTGCTGGCTACTCAATGAACGTCTTACATCCATTTACATTTTAAAAAGAAAGAGCACACATCAGGCTCGCATGTCCTCTGCCCCATTTTCACTGGGGGTTGTTTTGGGTTTTTTTGATTCATCACAGTCTCAGGTGTCAAGAGCAAAACTGATCGGTGAAAATTCTAGGTCAGCCAGCTTTGACTGTGGAGACACTGCATTAGCAGGAGCTGTCCATTAACGGACTGGGATGTTGACAGCAGAGTCATGAATCAGATGGCATTGAAAGAGAGGGTCCCCAAGGCCCTCCCAACTCAGAACTGGGTAGCCACTTTCCCTTGTTTAGTCTGGCTGTAGTGGGGGGCACCACCAACCAGGCCCACCCTCTTGCTCTTTCTTTAGAAGGAGGCCTTTTTTGTTAGGGGGAAGACCTTTCTACAACCCTGTACTTCAAAATGGCACCTAGGAATCCCTGAGAGTTCTGGTGGGGTTGGGGGAGCATGGAAAGGAGGGTGGTATCCAGGTAAAGAGAAAAGCTCTCCCATGGGTTCTAGAGAGAGTTTGGGATTTTTTTTTTCATTCTGACAACTTAAAAAAAATTAAATCAATATTTAAGTACCTTCTGAATCTTGTAGGGATGAAACTTTATAGCTGGGTGATGCCACCTAGGCTCAGGGTCTGAGTTTTCCTGTGTTTACATTGTCTTTCATGCTGAATGATCAACTCAAGTGAAATAATTTAACTGAATGTATTTCTTTTTTTTATTCTTTTTAATATGTATTTATTTTTGAAAGAAAGAGCATGAGTGGGAGAGGAACAGAGGTAAGGGGGGCATCTGAAGTGGGCTCTGTGTTGACAGCAGAGAGCCCAAAGCAGGGCTCGAACTCAAAAACTACGAGATCATGACCTGAGCCGAAGTCAGATGCTTAATTGACTGAGCCACCCTGATGCCCCTAACTGAATATATTTCTGCAACTAGGTGGATCTCTAAGTCTTCAGGGTCCATGGTTCTCAATTTTGAGAAATGTTAGACAACATGTGAAAGTGCAGGCTTGCAGAGAATGAATGTCACCCTGCCCTTGATGGTGCGCAATGGGTGCGGGATGAGCCAGTGTCTGGGGGACACACAGACCTGCTGCAGAAAGAGGTGGACTCCCATATGCCCTGCCTGCCCTTTGGAACTGGCCAGGACAATCCACCAGATATAAACCAAAGAAATGACCAACCCATTCTGGCAATCCTAATAATGAAACTCAAAGGTACAAGAGAAGCCATCACCAGACACACCAGGAACTGCTCCTTCCAAGGAAGGGAACAGAAGGGAAAGCCTTGCAAAGAAGAGAAGTCGCTTGTGTTTACTCACACGCTATCCCAGTTCTAGATTACCTAGAGTGAAGAATCCCAGGCGTCAAGAGTATGTGCTCTCAGGAGCTAATTCCTTGGCTGAACTTAAGTAAAAGGAACATGGCACTCAGGTACTGGTGGCATCGAATCCCCTCCACCCCCGAAGGAGGAAGAACAATCCAGAGTAAGCATTCTTTCACAATGTACCCCCAGCACCCCCTCAGTGCTGCTGCTAAGCTATCATTTGCCTCCCTTGTCCTTCCTTTGCAGAGCTGGGGCAGGTCTCTACAGGGTAGGGGTCCTGACCACCCACCCAGGCAGCCAGAGCTTGGGCAGCTGGGCCCCCCAGACTGTGGTATAAAGCTCCTCCTTGCCAACTGCCAAAGCCCTTCTGGACCAGTTCCTAGTACAAGAGAGTCTAGGGTTTGGCTCCCAAGGAGGGGGCTGGATGGATGCCAGAGCTTGGCACAGAGCAAATGCTGGACACTAGCCGGGGAGCAGCAATTCGTTATGTTGTGGAGGGAGAAAAGCGCTTTTCCAGGCTCTGTCACTTGGGAGGAGGAGCCTGTGAACTGGTCCCCTCTGTGTGACTGGGCTCCTTCTACCTCCCAGAGCTGTGTTTCTCTGAGGAGAGGGTCTTATTCCTTCAGTGGTGGCATGGGCCTGCCCCCAATTTGTGATTCAGAAACAACTACAACTTGATTTTAAACTAGATGGTAGGTTTGGTTTTGGGAAGATAGGTGTTTTGGGGGTTTTCCGTGGCTTTCACAGACAGTACAAAGCACAGAACATGGGATAAGCCATGAGTCGGAAGGTTTAGTCTCAGTTCACTAGCTTACCTGGTGATTTCCTTGTACTTCACCTCTCTTGGGCTGTAAACGCAGACAGAGTTTGCACAAGATCTCCAAGAATCCTTCTAGTTCCATATTTCTGTGTTCTGAACATCACAGGAGAGAAGCTCTGGGCACTTCTTCCTTGTAGGGTTCTTAGAAGGGAGACTATTCATTAGTCAAATGACTGAGAAATAACTCCTTGATGATCCACTTCAGGACTTTTGATCATATATCTAAGTTCATGATTTCAGAGGGAAAAGCTTTAAGCTAGAAAATGCAGGGTAAAATGAAGACTCCATAAGGACCAGAGAACAGAGCTATGTGGGCCCAGTAGAAAGCCAGTCACCAGCTTAGCTGCAGCCCCCTGGCATGCAATGTCAGGACCAACCCTCTTTCGAGATACACATCTCAGATTGAGATGTATCAGACTCAGCAATGTATCTCTGTAGAGATAACAGAGTAATAAGCAACGTCGCGAATAAGTCATTACTGATTTGAGTCAAATGTCTTAGGGAATTATCAGTATTTTAAACTAAA